CACAACCTTTTATATCATTAAGAAAAATACAAAAATAATAATAATAATAGAAAGCTCTCCCCCCGCAGCCTCCAATTGAAGGTTTTATTTTTCCGTTTTGTAACTAAATATTTATTTCTTATATCCTAAAATTTAAAAAAAAAAAAAAAAAAAAACCTCCTAGCAAGCAGCACACTCCTCTCATCTGCCTCATTATCATGACACGTCTAACTAAAAGTCCAAGTAATTAAAGTGAAAATCAGTAGGCATGCACATCTCCTGAATCCTGCAGATGTATATCACCGACATGTAGAGTTCTGTTTTCACCTCTCAGCCCTGGCTAAATTTGGTTCTAAAGGGGAGGGGGGAGGAAAAAGAAAAGAACCCCCCAATTAGAACACAAGTGATCGGTAGTTACAACAAGCCCGTTCGTGAATCGAACCCAAAAATAAATGAGATACCTAGCTAGAGCTGGTCGCTTTCGCTCCGGCAGCTCATCTTCTGCACCCTCCAAGCTCCTTTTATCCCTCATCGAGTTCGTCCTCTCCATATACCTCGTCTGCCTCTGCATCTTCACTCTCTAGAGGAACCCCAAACTTCCCAGATCTACTGGCTACTGCACACCAAAATCAGAACTTCATTCAAGACGATTGATTGAAATCAAAAGCCGCCATCAACAACCAAACCCTAACCATAGTGACACAACCAAAAAATTTCTTAAAAACCCCCCAAAATTCAAATTAGTACAAAATCGAATATCCAGCTCTATCCTGGAAATTTCCTCGAAATAATACTGTACTTACTGTAAAATTTCTCGACTTTTTTCCTACTTCCCTCTAAAATATCCCGATTTACCGGGAAAACCAAAAAGAGAGTAAGACAGATTGAGTGAAACGAGCCTAAACGCGATAGATAAACCAAAGAGAAGCAATTTTTCTGTGTAAAGTGAGAGCGATAAAATCGGGGCTTCAACTACGAAGACAACAGACTATATCCAACTCGCAACCCTGGGGCTGGGACTATGCAGTCGAGATCGGGAGTAATCAAGTGCTCCGCGGTCCATGGTGATGTACCATCTTAACGGCACTGACGCTTAAGAAATGAGCGAAACGGACACGTGGCTTCTCCAGGAGTGATGATTTTGTGGACCGGCGGAGCAGCGGATTATGGCTTTTTCGTTGTCCTCAGATCTGAATTTTATTTTTGGTCGCCGCTTGCGATTGGGCCAAGGGAGAACTTAAGCGCGATCTGGACCGTAGAATATCTAGTGCCGTAGGTTGTATTTTGCCACATGGCCCACATGTCAAACATTAATTTCTTTTATTGGATAATCACGTTCGAGCCTTTGGTGATATAACCTATCTGACGTATTTCTTACAACTAATGTTATACTATATTTTACTTGTCAAAACCCCTTTTTTCTTTCAGAAAATAATATTTTTAAGAAATAGTAAATTTAACCATCTAATCTAAAATATAACTATGATAAAATAAAAAATTTTGCTCAACTTTTTTAATTTCATTTATTTGTCTGTTTCTAGAAGACATAATTTTTAGTAAAGTAAATAATATTGTCTTCTGTGGGTGCTTTTTAATTGAAGAATTTGTTCTTTAAGATGCAACTTTCGAAGTTTTGACATGTTATATATACTAGTTGAATGAGAGGTAATGAAAAATATTTTATAATTTTTTATAATGGTAGATTAAATAATCACATATAATTTTGAAAATTTTAAGGAGTACTCTCAACGGAAAGCATTAGTAACATCTCAAATTTATGTCGGGTGAATCTTAAATTATAGTTCTTATTATAGATTATATCATCCTTGCAATTATAAGATCCATTTGCAAATCCATTAGTTGGAAAATGGATTTCTGGCCTTATACATGAAATAGCCGACAAGAGCATCAATTTTGCCTTTTAATATGACTACTTGAAATGGAAAATATTGGTGGCAAGTTCTCCAACAAAATACTTTGATTTTGATTGGAATTTATTACGTTGTCTTTGTTTCGTCTATATTAGAGGTGAATATGTCCTCTTGCTTTATTGCGAGTCACCCAATATCCATTTTTAACAAAATAGAATTTACTAGTTTCATCGTGTCATATCTATTTATCATTTATCATATATTTAGAAAGTAGAAGAATCATCGTTGTAATCGGTTTAGTATCTATATTTTTACATGTTCTTGATAAATTCTCATTTTTCATCTATCGTCTTCCTCGATCTTCAAATTCAAATACCTTAGTCCATCAAATAAATTAAATAAAACAAACTTGTTAATCCTCTCCCTCGTACTTAAACAGAAAAAAAGACGTCTTCCCCCTATTTCTAATAATATGCTATATAGAGAGAAAGTCAGGAAAAAAATAAATTTGGTTCTTCTTAAATTTAAAACTTTTGTTAAAGACTTCACTCAAATGTCATACGGACTAAAAAGTGTATTTTTGCCCAATATTTTTTAGACTTCCACGAGGAGAAAAAAAAAAGAACAAACAAAAATAAAATAATATATTGCACAAAAATTTCTACAGTAAGACCATTTGGGAGGGAACCTCATTCCAGCGACTTTTTCTCTCTTTTCTAAGCTTCATCTTATCTCTTTTAATTTTTTTCCTCCACTTTTCTTTTAGGACTAAAAAAAGAGAAACGAAAGACAAGATTGAATTTGCCACTCATTTCAAGGAGCAAAGAAGTCAAAATATTAAGAACAAATACCTACTTCTACAGAATCTCATGCATTCGATATCATTAATTAACTCCATCACCCAACACTTTTAAACCTTCATTATGTGCTCTTAGCCTAATATAATGCCTTGACTTTTACAAGCCACTCTTCAACCTTTGGATGAAAGTCAAAGGGAGCCCAAAGAGTAAAAATCTAGTACTTACTGGGACCTAATAAATTCGGTTTGATTCAGTTACATACGATAGCCTCCCTCCCATCAGCCATCATCACTGAAAACTTAGTAATTAGTGTTTTGTGGCCGTCTTGTTCGTAGTTTGTTAATAGGAGTCATTTTCATTCATCCCTCAACTGGGCCTTGTTCATTCATAATCGTGTCACACATGCAGTTCCAGCATTTGTTTCATCACTTCATAAGCAATTCTCAATTTTTGACCGAATCTCATTTTTTGATCGGATGATCGTTTGAGTTTTTGGGCTCTTATACCATATTAATATTCATTATGTTCCATTTTAAGACTAATTGGCAATGAGAAAAGTAGCTCATGTCTATTATAAACGTCTATTCTTTTATCAATGTGGGATCCTTAACACTCATGCCTACGTGACATTTCTGCTCCCTTAATTATTTCGCACTTCATCCGCACATTTCACTACCTTTCCATCTTCACCATCACAAATATTTAAATCGAGCTAGCCAAATCTTCAGTTTACGATTCGTTTTGGTGTGGTTTTTACACAACGGGTCATTCAGCTGAGTTTTGTTAACTTCAGGGGAGTAGTGAAAATGGAGAATACATAAGCAACTATGATTTCATTAAATCGAGTTAATTCAGATACAAACCTAATAATCTATTTTTACTAATATAATCCATAATCATAGCTTTGTAAATTTAATTATAAACTATATTCTAATCTAAATCTATAATAATTTAAATAACATTATCTAATAGTATAATCTAACAATTTTTACATATTTATTTATAAAATTTGTAGTTCGATTTTGGTTGTTCCTAAAATCGAGTCAAACTGAATTGTGAATGCTCCTAATCGGAAGGAAAGCATACCATTCATGTCTCATTTTAAACAGCACGAATTGTTATTATATATATATATATATATATATATTTTTTTTTTTCAAACAACTATCAAAATTACTTAATATTTTGAATACATAAATGGAAGTATAGTTCGAATCAAATAAATGGACTAATTTTCAATTTACAATACTTTGGATAATTAATCAACAGATTTATAATTTTGTCATTCATGTGTAGACAATTTATCTTTAACTAAAATGTCGTGAGTTTGAATCCACACTCTCACATGTTAGTACTAAAAAAACTATAAAATTTATTAAAGAAAACATAATATCGCATATAATATATATTACACACACATAAATGTCGCATAAAATTTAGTCCATCATTTATGATTATTTTATGCATATTGTAATTAAATAATTAATCAATAGTAGCTATAAGCGGCTAAAATATGTCAAAACGAGTATAGTTTAGCGGTAATTGACATATATCTCCAACTAAAAGATTGTGAGTTACGATCAGTCAAAAAATAAAAAATCGCAGTTTAATGAAACTAGAAGCTGAGTCGGATTATTATTCTTTTTTTTAATCAGTTTTTTAGTTAAGAAATGTTGTGAAAGTAAAATTAATAAACTTTTGTAGGAAAAATTTGATTCGCTGCATTGTATATGTTTGCAAATATATAAAAAGAATTATGATTTTGCACATATGTAAATTTCTTTTAACTTTTATCTCGCGACTGTCTAATATTTTAAAGTAATTTATTTTTTACTCATATATTACTAATTTACGATTGATGTCTATCATTAATAGTTATTTCAGGACTATTTTAATATTTTTATGGGTGAGTTTAGGTTAGTATTTTTATTTATTTATTTTCAAAATTTAGGATATTGTTGACGCAAATGCCTATTCTTTAGAGGCAATAACATAAATAGTATAAAAGAAGAATTTATTTTTAAATATAGAAAAAAAAGATTAACATTTTATGGATCCGATGTTCAAATTAAAGTCAAATTCAATAACATTGTAAATACATATTTGATTGTGTTTATATCCTCATTTTTCAGATGAGTAGTGGAACCTATATATGAAAGTACTCTAGTCTGACATCTTTTTTAACGGGCTTAGAGAGCATATCGATAATTTGGATCCGGAAAAAATTTGTTTATATTATATTTGAAAAAAAATATTAAATTTATATTGTAGAATGGATTAAAAAAATTATCAGGAATTAATATGAGAACTCTTCAGGAAAATATCCCCGAACTATATATACACACACCTACTTGCATTATCCTTTTGCCACAGCCACAGAAAACTAGTAAATTGGAGTCTTGTCGGTTTTTAAGATTCATGGAGGAGAGAAATGAAATGGAAGAAAAAACGAGCACGGCAACGGAGGGCGAAGAAATTGACGATTTCTCTTTGCTGCCCGAAGGAGTAATAGCTAACATCTTGTCGCTGACGACTCCACCGGATGCGTGCAGGTCATCGGAGGTTTCCTGGACTTTCCATGCCGCGGCGCAATCAGATATCGTGTGGGACAGATTCCTGCCTACCGATTGGCACGATTTGGTTTCTCGGGCTAAACCTAGCGATCTGAATTTTGATCCGGCTTCGTCTTCGAAGAAGGAGATCTTTTTCTCTCTCTGCGACAGACCACTGCTCATTGATGACGGCAAAAAGGTATGCTTTCCGTTTCCCCCAATTTCTCTCAATTGAAGGTGCCCACAGTTGGATACGTGGTTTTCCGCCGTGCCATTACTGGAAGTCCCTTTCTTGTCATGATGGCCTTTCAAATTCATTCTTTAGCTGTGATGTGATCTTGGAGGCCCCATTTTACTCTTTTTCTAATGTAACGATGATATTGTTTACTTTAGATTTTACCTTCACGTCTAATTTTAGAATATAAAATTCTTTTCGAACACATGCTAAACCCTAATTTTTTTAATTTTTAAGTCCTCTTTTACCCTAGTTAAGTAAGGATTCTAATAACAAAACTTTTGAGGTTACCTGGGATTTCAACAAAAATGTTTGAAACTATCTTTAAAAAGGTTGATATGCATTCCTATAAATGGTTGATATCCGAAATCCAATTTCCTTTATTCTCGTTGAGGAGGGGTGAAGTTTCAGTAACTTTTGGTATCGCCAAAAAAAAGCAAGCAAGCGCTAGTTGGCATATATCTACGAACTCAGTTTGATCCCCTGCCCACATGTTGAACTATAAAAAAAAAAAAAAAAAAACTTTTGATATGCTCTGGACCAGAGTTTCTATTTTCTGTTTTGCTTCTCTCTCTCTCTCTTTTTTTTTAACTTCTTCCACAATTCATCAAACAACTGGGTAGCAATCAGGTAACATCTCAAATTTGCACAAGGGCTTTAACTTTTTCTCATAAACTTGTAATCGAGTTAATGGGTCTAAACGTTCAGATTTATTAATTTCTCTTTGAATTAAATACAATATTATCGTTCCTGCCTTAAATTATATGTTTAGTTTCTATGCTTCAACTTTGTTCTTAATAACATGAACTGGGTGTGAAGAAGTTTTGGAGTGAGGGGGTTGAGTAAGTTTTGAAGAATGAATATTATTTGATTGTATATACATACACTTATAGTAGTCTGATTCACGAATAACATAAAACCACTGGTTCATATATATGTGTGTGTTTTGTTGCTTGTCGTATCAGCGATGAAACTGTTCTGCCCTTTCTATTTGTATGCACATAAATTGAGTGGGTTCAATCATTGGTATGTAACAGAGCTTTTCACTGGACAAACGGAGTGGTAAGAAATGCATAATGCTTGGAGCAAGGGACCTTTCAGTAGTTTGGGGTGATACCTCTTTCTATTGGACCTGGGAACGTCATCCCGAGTCGAGGTTCGAGTCTATGACATTGGATCAAATCCTATCCTCTATGCTGCTTCTTTTTCTTCCAATTCTAATACTTTCCTTTTAATGTGGGTGTGGGAATCAGGTTTGCAGAGGTAGCTGTGCTCCTCGAGGTGTGGTGGCTTGAAATACGTGGAAGAATAAGTTGCAGAATGTTGTCTCCTGCAACAACTTATGCAGCTTACTTTGTGTTCAAGATGAGGAAACGAAGATACTATGGGTTCAATGTTGATCCTGCGGATGCCATGGTGGGAACTGGTGGCACTGAAAACAGGTCGAAAAGTGTTTGTCTGGACCCTTTTATTGACAACCCTCTTCGGCGGCGTCGGCATGTCCCATTGGCGGTGGACCAGCCGCCTGAAAGTATGGAGGGGTCAGAGCGGCCAAAGCAGAGACATGATGGCTGGTTTGAAATCGAGCTGGGAGAGTTTCAAAGCGACAGTGGAGATGATGAAATTGAGATGGTTCTTATGGAGGTAAAGGGCAACACTCCCAAGAGCGGCCTTGTTGTTCAAGGGATAGAGATAAGGCCTAAAATAAGCCCCTCGTAGATGAACTCTGGTAAACTGTGTACTAAATCCACGATATTGCTATTAGCGTCATAAAAGGAAAACTGAAACCCTTGCTTTGTATGGAGATACTAAAAAACTGTAATAAATGACGATCAAATTGTTGCCATTTTCATTTGTGCTGCCTTATAAATTGAGTCTCTCTTTTTGCAAGTACTGAAAATCTGAAAATACTTCTCCCCATCAGAGAAGACGGTCGATGACGAGTTACCAGATGTTCTAGCTCCCTCTGCTATACAAAATCCCTCCGATTTTGTTATTATTATTTTTTTTTAATTATGTTTGCTTACAACTTTTTTGATATGGTTTTTACCCTTTTTGTATAAAACACATGGGCCAGGCATATATTTAATTTGCTTTTAGCCACTTTTCTTTCCAGTTGCTGGCGTCAGATCGTTCTTCTGTATTAGCAAATCATTTCCAATCTTTTTACTTTTGCACTTTATAGTCTTGCGTTTGGTGGGCCTGAAAGCCATCTTACTTTCACGTACAAAATGGTACACTGGATGGCACCAATTTTTTACCAATGAAGAAAGGATATATTTTCTTTTTCTATTTTTTTAAAAAATAAAAAAAGTGGTAAGGTTTTTAGTAGTGGTTAGGAGGGAGATGATGTCAAATGTCACTTCAATTGGTCGTATTGTTCAATAATAAATACCAACTTCTAGAAGACGTTATCCAACACCATTGTTCATTAGTTAATTCCAACCCCCGTTTAATCTTAAACAGCATAATTCTACTGCTTCTTCTTTGGTAAGCCCTCAAACAAACTTTGGGACGAAATTCAAGAAAGTGACAATAGTAAAGATATAATTTATAAAATGAACTACTTTGATTGAAGGAAGTATCACTGCCAAAGTCAATATCTCATTTGAACTATCAAAATTAATCAATACTCTTTTGATACATAAAATTCAATGTATAGTTTGAATCAAATCAATCGCTCACTTTGGGTAACGAATATATTCATAATTTTGCTTAAAACGTACAGATAGATAACCGAAAATAACAAACAATGGTACATGCCATATAATTCAGTCAAAATTTTGTGATTAATTTTATACCTTCTGTCTACCACTATTCTTTATTTTACAAGCTATATCTATGTTTTCAGGTAAAATCCCTACTCTTATATCTATTATAGTAAAAAAGAGTTAAATTAATTAAAAAAAAAAGAAATAAAATGAGACCTCTTCAGTAAAATATATATACACCCCTGTGCCATGAAATATCAGTGAAAATAGAGCACTCTTCACTCTCAGATTCATGGAGGAGAAAAATGAATGGAGCAAGAAAAGAGGAGAGGAACGGAAGGGGAAGAAGTTGCTGATTTATCTTCGCTGCCCGAAGGAGTAATGGCCAAAATACTGTCACTTACGACCCCATCCGATGCATGCAGGTCGTCGATGGTTTCCAGGGCTTTCCACGCGGCGGCGCAGTCAGATATCGTGTGGGACAGATTCCTGCCTACCGATTGGGAGCTTTTGATTTCTTGGATCAAACCTAGTGATCTCAATCTTGATCCGACTTCATGTTCGAAGAAGGACATCTTTTTCGCCCTTTCCGGTGCTCATTGATGACGGGAACGAGGTAAGTTTTCCAATTCCCCCAATTTCTCCAAATTGGAGGTGGCCGGAGTTAGATGCGTACTCCGGCCGTCGCCGTCGTCGGAGTTTGAGTTCATTTCAAGTTCCTCTTTTACCTTAGTCGTCAATGTCATGCATGGATTATTTCTAAAACTCGTGAAATTATCTCTGGAAAGGTTCGCATGCATTTCATTGTCAATGAGTGGTTGAAATCCCCAATCCAATTCTTTTATGATTTTTTTTTTATTTCTTGTTAATGTGTGAAGTTTGATTGAAATTCTCTCGTATCGAAGTTCTGACTTCTGATCTTCTGTTTCGTCAGTCAAAAAAATTCTTATGCTCATTGTAGCGCTTCACTTTTTGTTGCCCTAAATCTAACTTTTTTCACAACAGCAACTGCACAACTATCTGGTTACATCTTAAATTTGCGTAAGTGCTGATGTTTATAAAGTTGTAATTGATTAATGGTTCTAGACTTTCAGATTTTCACAACAGCAACTGGACAAATATCTGGTTACATCTTAAAGGTTGCTAGGATTTCTAAACTTTTAGAGTTCGACCACAAACAACTTTTCACATTAAACTTATGTTACTCCTCACTGACGGTATGATAATTTTGGAAGCTTTAACAAAGATAATAATTGGAAGCTTTAACAAAAGATAAAAAGACAGATAAGTCATAGGGACTAAATTGAAACTAAAAGCACAGAGACTAGAAATTCAATCTAAACTTGTTCTCAATTACCTTTAACATGTTGAGTTTAAAAGGAAAAAAGAAAAAGGAAGAGAAATTAAGTTGCATCTGACGCCAATATCAGGTCCAGATCATTAGTTTTAGTTCCCTCTAAGGGAAGTTTTGAAGTATGAATAGTAATAGATTGTGTACACTTATATCAGTCGTACTCACAAAGATCAGATAGCCACTAGTTCATATGTATATCTTTTGCCATTTGTTGAATTAGTGATGAAGTTATTGTTCTGCACTTTCTCTTAAATTGAGTGGGTTCAATCGTTGGTATGGAGCAGAGCTTTTCATTGGACATATGGACTGGTAAGAAATGCATAATGCTTCGAGCAAGGGAGCTATCGATTCGTCGGAGTGAAGATAACTCTTCCTATTGGACCTGGGAACCTCATCATCGATCGAAGTTGGAGTCTACGAGATTGGCTCAAATCCCATTCTGTATGCTGTTTCTCTTCCTCTCAATTCTAATACTTTGCCTCTTAATGTGGGTGTGAGAAACAGGTTTCCCGAGGTTGGCGTGCTCCATGATGTCTGGTGGTTTGAAATGCACGGAAAGATAAGTTGCAGAACCTTGTCTCCCGCAATAACTTACACAGCTCACTTTGTGTTCAAGATCAAGAAACGTAAATATTATGGATTCGATTTTGATCCTGTTGATGCCACGGTGGGAATCACCGGTGCTGAAAGTTGTACAAAGAGTGTCTGTTTGGACCCTTACTTGGACAACCCTCAATGGTTGCCCAGCGCGTACCATGGGCAGGGAGCAATCTGCCTGAAAACAACATGTCGGAGTTGGAGCAGCTGAGGACAAGACCTGATGGCTGGTTCGAAATCGAGATGGGAGAGTTTCGAACTGATGGTGCAGGCGATGAAGTTGAGGTTGTTCTTATGGAGTTCAATGGCAGTTCTCCTAAGAGTGGCCTCGTTGTTGAGGGGATAGAGATGAGGCCTAAAATTCTTGAAGACTTTTTTTAAAGCTATTGTATTACTTGCTTTGTATATATAGGAAGCTCAAAATAACTAACCATTCACCTCCTTTTTGCCACACCAAAAATCTTAAACTATTTCTTCTCATTTGGGAAGAAGGTCAACGACAAGAGGTTTGAGCTCCCTCGCTAGATTTTTCCTATACTATCTATGTTTCTATAACATCTTCATCTTCATTTTTTATTTTATTTTTTCCAGCTTGCACGAACCTCGAAGATAATGACTTGATGAATATTTTTTTGATGAAAATTTCATATAATGTTGATGAATATATTTTTTTTCTATCCTACTTTAGTGCTTTAGTTTTAACTCTGTTTTATTTTTTAATTATTAATTTTTTTTTGAAAACCAAATAAATAGCGATGGAACAATTAAAAAAGGAAAAACCCTATTTCGGTCGTATTTTTTCAATTTTCATATTATAGCATTCTTATATTTTTAGTCGAACCAATTATTTAGTTACAAATTATTTTTGAAGTAAAATTAATAAAGCAATTTTTTAATCCAGAAATAAATGGGCATTCGTCCGTGAAATATCCTGAGATAATAATAATATAATATATGTTATCCCTTTGCCTAAAAGAATCAGTGGAACAGAGTTTTCGGATTCATGGACAAGAGATGGAAGAAGAAACGATGACGGGAACGGAGGGCGAAGAAATTGCCGATTTCTCTTCCCTGCCGGAAGGAGTAATAGCCAACATATTGTCGCTGACGGGGCCATCGGATGCGTGCAGGTCGTCGACGGTTTCCCGGGCTTTCCACGCGGCGGCGCAGTCAGATATCGTGTGGGACAGATTCCTGCCTACCGATTGGTACGATTTGATTTGTCGGAGAAAACCTAGTGATCTGAATATTGATCCGATTTCGAGTTCGAAGAAGGAGATCTTTTTCTCCCTTTGCGATAACCCGCTGCTCACTGATGACGGGAAGAAGGTCAGCTTTCAGATTCCCCTAATTTCTCTAAATTGAAGGTGGCCGGAGTTGGATGTATTTCAAATTCATTCTAACATAGCTGTGATCTTGAAGGCCCCATTTAATTCTGTCCAATAGAATAATTTTATTATTTCTTCAAGATTTTACATGTACATCTAGATTTAGAATATAAGATAGCAACCAAATAACTATTTTAATATTTTTTTAGATGTAAATGCTTTTTTTTTTCTTTTGACAAACGATGTAAATGCATCTTTGATTAAGTAAAAAGGCTTCCATTATATTTATTGTCTTTTGAAGTACGTATGAATGCATAAATGAAACAGATGCTTTTTAGAATGGTTAGTCTCCTACAATGCATTTCAAACAAATTCCAAAAACCTCAGACCCAATTTTATTAAAATTCCTCCTTTACCATACCATAGTCATGCTCGGATTTAACATGTGAGGTTTTAGATACTTATGATATCCTCTGTACCAGAGTCTTACATTCCCCAAAGTTGTTTGGGGAATTGACCCTCCGCTACCACAAATTTTAGGTCCACACCATTATTAAAAATCTCCCACTTAGGAAAGTTTTGAACATCTGTGTTAGTCTGATTCTCAAAGAACAGAAAGCCAACGTGTTCACATTTATATTTTTTGCCAACCACTTGTTGAATTAGTGAAAGCTGCGCTGCATTTTCTATTTGTATGCACATAAATTGAGTGGGTTTTATGGTTGGTATGTAGCTTAGCTTTTCATTGGACAAATGGAGTGGTAAGAAATGCATAATGCTTGGAGCAAGGGACCTGTCAATTGTTTGGGGTGATACCTCTGTCTATTGGACCTGGGAATCTCATCCTGAGTCAAGGTCTCAAGTCTATGTAATTGACTCAAATCCTATTCTTTATCTTGTTTCTTTTTCTCCCAATTCTAATACTCTAACGTTTAATGTTGGTGTGAGAATCAGGTTTGCAGAAGTAGTTGTTATCCTCAAGGTGTGGTGGCTTGAAATACGTGGAAAGATTAGTAGTGGAATGTTGTCTCCTGCAACCACTTATGCAGCTTACTTTGTGTTCAGGATGAGGGAACGTAGATACTATGGGTTCAATATAGATCCTGTCGATGCCATGGTTGGAATTGTTGGGAGTGAATACTGTATGAAGAGTGTTTGTTTGGACCCGTATTTGGACGATCCTCATCAGCGGCGGCGACGTGTACCACGGGCGGGGAACAATCTGCCCGAAAACATGTCAGGGTTGGAGCAGCCAAGGGAGAGAGATGATGGTTGGTTTGAAACTGAGTTGGGAGAGTTTCATATTGATGGTGGAGATGATGAAGTTGAGATGATTCTTAAGGAGGTGAAGTGTAATGATTCCAAGAGGGTCCTCGTTGTACAGGGGATACAGATTAGGCCTAAAGTCAACTCAACTCTCCATTTTCATAGATAAACTCTTACAAACTTTATTAAACCCGTGATGTAACTTTTACCGCCATAGAAGGATAGACATGAACTTTGCCTTGTATATAGAGAAGTTAAAGAAACTATATAGTAAATTATTACAATCAAATTGTTGCTATTTTTATCTAGTAGCCTTCTTTTTTGACATACTAAAAATCTGAAAAACCTTGCTTTGTATTTGTTATTTATGTTTTTTGAACGTCTTTAACGTTTGGTTTAATTTACAACCAGATCTTAAAATTGTTATCACTAAGCATGTATTCTTAAATATGTTCCAATCGTTTATAAACCATCATGGATGACTAACATACACTCTGGGGAAAAAAAATATAGATGCTATATTAGAAAATTTTTTCAGATTAATGTACAGTCAATGAAGGGTTTAATAAATTATATAGTTAAACAATCTTTGAGCCCTGCATGGGTGACCTCTTTTACTATTTTCATTCAAATTTCTGCTATTTTCATTTGTCACCTTAAAGGTATATAAAAAACTTTCTCCGTAAAAGTGAATATAATTTAATAGTAATTGATATATAATTCCAATTGAGTTGTTATGAGTTTGATCCCTTGTCCCTACATGTTGCACTAAAGGGAGGAAAAAAAAAATCTTTCCCCCATTTGAGATGACAGTCTGTAGAATTAATTTTAGTTTCGAATGTAAAAGGTATATGTTATTTATGTTTCAAAAATATCTTTCATCTGGCAGAAACAATGATACAAAGTTTGATTCAATGTACAACCAAATTTTTAAAAATGTATCATTAAGCATGCTTTCTTAAACACCATTTCAGTCCTAATACCACATGCAATCTTAGTTTTAAACCTGTTTAACTTTAGAATTAATTTCAAATTTTATAGGTCAAGCAAAAACGAAAGAACAAATAACCAAATAAAACAAGAAATTTCCATTAATAATACTTGCTACTACACGAGCTGACACTAGACCACTAACTACACTTAAAGGTAACTAATAGAGCCACCAAAAAAGCCTTACAGAATAATTAACTATTGCTGTCTTTCATGAATGACAGGATTTCAAGCTCTCTCTAGAATCGCTGATAAATTCTTCCAATTTGCTGTGAAGTTTGATCAATAATTGGGTGCAGGTATCTGGTTTTGTGCAAGGTGCACACATAAGGTATATGACGTTGCCCAGTGGCCTCATGTAAATCCCATCTTCCCGAAGCTTTAATAGAAGAGATCTTGAATATAGGGATGCATACCTGTTCGAAACCGATCAAACTTCAGTAGTCAACACTAAGAATGATCGTATTTGGTAAACAGAAATTCTAATGTGAATCTATTCACCCACAAATTGTAATTCCTGATGGAATATGAAATCTGCAGGATAATACAAAATTTTGTTCGGGGAGGCTAATAAATTCGCGTACTACTTTAGGCCATCAAACAGAATATCAGGTGTAATTTATCTTCCTATTATTTGCTGTATCTTTATGCTTCAAAAATCTAAAAAGAACGTAGGTGTTATTTGGAAGACAGGTGAATAGCAGCCTAGCATGCAATTGGACAAAAAACTTCAGTGGAGTTAATGGTTGATAATACTCGCTATGGAGAATCAACATCGTCTGCACTACCTAATTACTACTGTATTCATAAAAGGGTTCCTAAGAGAAAAATTGTTTCCGCCTGATGATTACGAAATCCCAATAGGTCACAAGATCAATGAATACTATTGACAATCTTCGTTTTGTCTAATCTGGCAATGTTTAAAGAAACAGCTATCTCAATAAGAACATAGCTTAGCGTGTATTTAACGAAGAGATTATACAAGTAAACGCTATTGTGAAAAGTGAGGTAACAATGCTAGACGAAAAGCTGTAGTTGACTAGGTTTGAACTTACCCGGCATCGGAGCCATCTGCTTGAAGTTCTAGAGCAAAGAGAGTTCCCAATGCAACTACTCTCTTCACTGCAGGGTGTAATGAGATCTCGTAAACCAAGTTTTCATCCCATAACTGTAAGCGTTAAAGAACAGATGAATCAAAAAAGTATTCTTAGCAAGACCTTCAAAGTATAACATAACTTCAAATACACGTATAAGAATCATGCGTCCAAGGAATATTTATTCAAAATTATGTAATATAAAATCAACTATATTATTTTCTGCCGAAGTATCATTTTCTTCTCCCTTTCTCCTCAGACAGATGATGCTATCCAAATCATTCTAATCATAACTTTATAATCATTTCAAACAACTTCATGTCAAATTAGTTGCACAGTCAATTGAGAACATATTCAAAATATGATTGCACTTGCCTCCCTGAGGGATCTCCCTTCAGAATTGATATTCTGGTTTGTCTCAGGATTTTTAAACCACTTAATGGACTTAGCAGCAGCCGTGCAGCCCAAAGCATGAGCCGAGTACGAGTGTCCATGCAAAAGTGCCTGAAGCTGTATTAGGAAAATAAAGAGGGGATTTAATTGTTTCATGGATACCATAAATTTTGCAAGCAAGCTTATTTCAGCTCTTATAAAAGAGTTGAGGAAAACCACGCAGATCATAACACAATCAACCAGGCTTGCAGATAAATTTTTGATTGAGCAGTACTGGTACTAATTGGAAATTCATAAGAATGTTAGCTTTGGGAAAAGTTAAAATAATAAAAATTAGCTGGCATAAGATGAAGCTGTCTCATAGACAGGTGACAACAGAAAGATATTGTAGCTAATGATCACACCCCTCACGGTATTACCTTAGAGTCCCCAATAAAGGATTCAAATACTGATTTTGTAGCTAAGGTAGCAGATAACGGAATAATTCCACCAGTCATCAGCTTTCCAAAGCAGGCTATATCTGGTGCACAATGAAGTAACTCTGCAACAGTCTGCAAGGAAAAGATAGTTTGAATTACTACCATAACATTATGTATTCCAGATAGAAAATGAAACTTATTATGATGACTGGCTACCAACCTCACTGCCCAAGCGCCAAAAACCAGTGAAAACCTCATCAAAAATGACAGGGATCTTTCGATTTTGGCATTCTTTCACAAGTACTCGTTGGAAGAGAGGATCCACCATATGCATTCCTCCAGCAGCTTGTATTACTATATAATAATTCCCAGGACAGATGACAAAATAAGTAGTTAAGGAAACAACGGTCATTGTTAGTTAGGTTACTTAGAGTACGTGACCAAAGTCATAAACACTCCAGATAACAAAATCCCGAAGTACCAATAAGGAGTATCAATACTGTAATTCCAACATAGCTACACAAGAATTAGCCTTAAAATGACAATCTTTTCCAAATGATTGGAAATTAAATAATCATAAGCACAAATTTTCAAGAATCGACACTCCTGAAAGGAGTTTGCAGAGGGTGCCACACACTAAGGATTATGCAAAAAAAGGAATATCACGAGTTAACTAGGACTGATACCAAAAATAGTTCGTAGGAACAAGTAACCATCCACTTCAATTCAACATATATATATATATATATATATATATATATATATATTTTATA